CATGCCAATTTACATCATGAATTTAAAAATATTAAACATGTTTTAAATCAACCATTTCAACAAATATTCAATTAATATTCAACTATATAAAATAAGTTTTTCTCGATTACCTTAAACCTTTAAGAGATCAAATATTTATCAAAGTTTGAATGGTGCACAAGATGATTGATTTATAATTAATTATACCAATTATCATTAAAATTATCATAAACAGTCTTTCAACTTTCATAAATCAACACTTTAACTATCCAACATTCCAATCTCTTGCACTTAAGTATAACCATTAAGTTTATTAACTCCTAACAATCCAAATCGCACTTTGAAGTCTAGGGTTCATCCAAAATAGGTGACTCAAGCTTACAATCTTATAAAAACCTTTAAACTATGGTAGAACACTTAAACAACTCTTATTAACTCTATTTAGACTAATAGGTTTGAACCCATAGTCTTAAATCTAAAAATCATCATCTCCTACATTAAATCTCACTTCCCAAACGTGTAGAGGGAAGAAGAAAAAGAGCTATACCAAAATAAAACAAGCTTCAAACACCTCTAAAAATGCCCAAAATTTGATGTTCTAGTAGAGAAAAACACTCTCTGATCACCCCCTCTATTTTAGATCTCACTCTCTTTTTCAAATTGATTTCGCATTTTAAAAAAATGGTTTGAGAAATTATGGTGTGACATAAAAATTTATACTTTGTAGCATAACACACAATGGCTAAAAAATCTATTTTTCTCCACAATTTAAGTCTGGTGACCCAATTCACTTTCGTACACAATCCAAAAGTTAGAGCCAAACCCAATAACGGTTTCTAACTATCCTCAAACTTAATTATAACTTAAATTTCTATAATTTCTCTTCATTAGATTAATAAATCATGGAAAAAATTTTGAAATATTACAACCACTGTAGCTAGAGTTGAGAATAAGGCTAGACTTGTAGACCTTATTTAAATAAGGGTTCAGGCTTAAAAAATGAGATTTTTTAAGGTAATTGAGTTTTTAGGCCCGACCCTGATAAGCATTGGAGAATTTTTGGAAAATTGAGCTTCAGGGCCTAAGCCCTCTAGACTCAGTCTTGATTCCCAACTCTACTGACATTCAATATTTTAATCTGAACAATCCAAATTTACATGTTTATTTTTTATATTTTTATTTTATATATTAAAATAAAAAATTTAATAATCTTTTTTATTGACAATGCAATTTAAATCTAGATAGTCTAATTTAATATTAAATATTTTTATAATTTTTATAAATTTTTATAAAATTTATAATTTTATAAATTTTTATAAATCTTCTATCAATTTTTTTTTCTTCGATCTTAATAACACCATAATAAGAGGAGACTGAATGAGGCCGGTTATTTTTGTTAAGATATAATTATATCTTGCATTAACTAATATTTTTTAAACATAGATACTCCCTGTTCGTTTTTATGAGAATCGTTTAACTGAATTACACACAATTAATGAAGGTAGTGAAAATTAGTTAAAAGTCTTATTTTTTTTTCAAAAATTATATACATTCCAAAAAATATCCCTAAGATTGATTGTATCATTGTAATTTATTTCTTATTCACATTATCATTACATTGAAAAGAAAGACGGATATGCAGAATGAATTCATGAAATATATTTTCGAAATTCATTATTTTTTGAAGTAAATGATGATGTAAGAGAAAAATTGGCCAACAAGATCAAAGAGAGAAGAAAGTTAGAAGATAAATGAGAAATGATGATTTTGGGTTTTGGCAGCTTAAAGGAATTAATATTGGCGAAGTGGTCAATATTTTCATGATCTGGCAATTGGATCTCTTTTGTTTTCATCTTAGGTTCAATTAACCAAGCACTTATTTAATTACATCGACATCATTGTTCACGTGTCACCAGAATTTCGTTTGAATTCTATGACCTTAGATTTAAGCTTTTCCTGGTAATGGACCCTCAGACCAGAAGTTTTTTTCTATTTCAGGCCCCCACTAACCTCTGACTTATTAATTTTAATCCAATTAGCATGCGACGTTCAAGAAAGAAAGTTCATTCTTCAACTGATTTGATAGAACTTGCTAAACTAATTGATTTCAAATGAAATGCTTTGAGACAATTATGTTAGACTAATCAGAACCCCAAGTCACAAAATTTACAGAGAGGATGGACCAGTGGTTTTCAAACTTTAACCTAATGCTTTAACCGCTTAACGATGATGAGAGGGGACTGGGGAGTGAACTTTAATTTTGTTCAGAGGCACAGAAACGTGACAACAGAGAAAACCTGGTGACAGTTTAATAGGTGCTATCATTTCAACTTAAATTCCAAATGCATCTAATAAGTTAATAAATTATAAAATATTATTATAATTAGATTTATTTTCCGTGCATGTTTAAAAGTGAAAAATTAAATAAAATAATTTATTTGAGTCTACTTAACATTAAAATTTTTTATTTATTTAAATTAAATTTAAATAGCATCTTTTTTATTTTAAATTTTTATTTTGCATATATATACTCCATCCGTTTAAAAATATAAAAAAAATTTATCTTTCGAGGTGTAATTATTATTTTTTTTAAAAGTGTCTATATTAATGAATAATTTATATTTATTATAGGGTATTTAATATGATATATTTTTAGTCTTTTAAGGTGTAATCATTGTCTTTTTTTTAAAGTTTCCCTATTGATAATGACTTTATATTTATTGTAGGATATTTAAATAGAGGGAAATATAAAAAAATAGGGTTAGTTGAAATAGGTAACTACTTATTGGAGGTGAGATGCGGTTAAAAATGCCTTATCTAATTTTAAACGGAGGGAGTATTATTTATATGTTTAATACTCTCTTTGTTAAAAAAAATATAAGGCATTTGTAATCAAATCTCACACCCCCCAATAAGTAGTTACTAACTAATTTTATCTTTTTCATATTTATTTCTATTTAACACTTTATAAATAAATATAAAGTCATTCATTATATGAACACTTTTAAAAAGAGGTAATGATTATACCTCTAACGACTAAGAATGTCTTGTATTTTTGAAATCTAATTTCTCAAAAAATAACTTATATTTTTAAACAGAGAGAGTAACTTATTTTATTTTAAATATGTTGTCCTAAAGATAAACATTAGGTCTTTCTTACCTTGCTCTTCTTTTGATTAATATGAGAAAAAAATTAAAATTAAATTAAAAAATAATTTTACTATTAAGTTTTGATCAATATAAACAAAGTTCAAGTTATTTGTGGTTTCTCCCTATGAAGGATGTGAGTGTTTAAATTGTGTCGTTCAAAAATCTAAAAAAAGAAACAAGGTTCAAGAAAGAAGAATGGGCGAGCAAGAGTATGATTTGATGGTGCAGGTAGACTTTGTTTTGATTTGGAAGAGGGTAAAATGTTGTCTGAAAGTTCATAAACTTAGGATATTGTTGTCCAAATATTTTTGCTCCAAGGAACTCATCTCAGTTACATGAATATACCTAAGGAACTCATTTTCATCAAATTTGATGAAAGTGAGTTCTATCATATTAAATAGTGCAATCTTCTTTCATTTCACTGCTGCTTCCATTTCTTTAACCTTATTTCTATTATACCAGATGAGATATTAATGGTTTTCCTCCTCTTTCTTTAGGCCCAAGTTACCTTCACGACTAGTTAGCCTACAAGGGAGGAGGGTATGATTATAGGTGAACAAGACCCATTTAAACTTTAATTTTCAATGCGCTAGAAAGTGAAGTTAAGTTAAAACATAACTAGTTGCTTGCACATTGATGTTCTAATCAATTCATCTACCCCTCCTCTTGCCCTATTGTTAAAAGGTGAAAAGAGGATGTTTTTTTTCTATTTATAAATCATATCCTAAATATTTTACTATAATTTTTTTACCCTACATTAAATATTGATGAGAAAAGGTATGTTATTAAAGAATGTATATTTAATCAAGGTAATATTAAAAAATTATTAAATTTTTAGATAGAATTAATAAATTTTATTTTTTTAATTTTAATCAAAACATGTTAAAATAACTTATAAATAAAATGAGAGAAGTATAAGAATGTAAGCAATACCAACTAATATCAAAGTCATTATTTTAAAAATCAATTCATGCATTGATTATTATATTTTAAAAAGGAAATAAACTAAATATGCCTAGCCTCTTGGGAAATTTTTGCATGAATCCAATTTCGCTATATCATTTATGTTCCATACGATAAATTCACACCATTTCAATTAAATAAAATTTCATGTGTCATTATTTTTAATAATTTTATTTTTATAATAAAATATCTATTTTTTAATTTTTTGCATTCTCTCTCAATTATTATTAATATTAAAATTATTTTATATTTAATGTTATGTAAATATCATCTTTTTGTCAAGGAGAGCAAGAGGCCAAATAAGATTTGCAATAGTGACACAAATGCGATCATTTCAGCATTCAGAGGTTGATTAAGGTTCACGGACTTGGACTGCTAGAAAGAATGCAATTTTAAAGGAAAAATAATAATTGAAAACCTTATAATAACATTAATAACAATTAAAAATTTTAGCTTGCTTACAATTAAAAAAAATATAAATAATTAATTTAAAATTAATAAAAAATATTTGAAATTATTTGTGTTACTTATAAACTTATAAAAATCAATTGTTAATTCAATTTTTTATTTATTAATATATAAATAAAATCTTTTGAAAAATTAAAAAAAGTGAAATTATTTATAATGTCAAGTTTAAAATTTACCAAAATTAAATATAAATTACAAATCAATTACTTATAATTTTTTTATTGCTTGAAAAATGAAATAAAGTTACTTAAAAATTTTTGTAACATTAATTGAAAATTTACCAAAAACTACTGTAAATCTCAAGCTAATTAATAAAAAAATAATTTATTATAATTAAAGATCTTTGTCTCTTACTGAAATTTCAATAACTTGAAATATGTAATTGTTATTAATATTCTTAAAGATCCCTAATTGTCATTTTCTCAATTATAAAAGCTAGATTTTGATTTTTGAAAATAACGTTACTCAACATTTCTCCATATTGGCATTTTAACAATTCATTTATACACATTCTTCTCCCACCTTGCAAGAAAAAATGGAGATAAACGGGGGAAAAAATCCCTAGAAGCTTCTAAATATTTGATCTCCTCTCATCTTATGTGTCAAATAGCTTTAAAGTCTAATTATGTCTCGTGTTTGAACTGCGCAATGTCACACCATGCAAAAATTTTGTGTATCCAAGTAAACTAAGCTTTCCATCAGTATATCGTATCCAATCCCTGACAATTGAATAAGCCGAAGGACCAAGCTTAAACTCCTGCAATCACCGTAAATCATGGGCCAAAAAGATTAGGAACATGTAAATGCTATGAATTGAGAAATTGGAAACATAATCATGTTAGAAAAAGAAACTAATAGCAGCACACGGGATCAGTATCATGGTGCAGTGACCACGTTCAAACCTTTTAATTAGATCAATTTGTTGAGCCGAGGCCAAAGTATTGACTTGTACCTGACCACAATATCAACAAAAAGGCACTAATAGCACTTACTCTTGCTAATTCTTCGACCGATATCACACGGTTGCCCTCTCTCTCTCAAAATGCTCAAAAGCAGTGGAGGCAATGTGCTCCCACGTGTCAAGTGTGCCTCTAATTGGTATGTGCTGATTGCGGCTGCACAGAATTCTCCGAAGTCCATCTTCCGATAGGCAAGCGGCTCCATCTACCAAATTGTTCAGGCAAAAAAAACAAAAGATAATATATCAGTTACTGTCAAGTATGGATACAGAGCAACTTTCTCATTGTCTCGTTCATAAATAAATGCCACAAAGCAGAACTCCAGGGGTAATAGGCTTCACGTTATAGCAAGGGGTTCCATTCCAGAAATCATTCTCAGACTTGGATGCTCTGGTACCAAAAAAATTCCAAGACATCTTTCAAGTCTGCACTTGGCAGGAAGTTTCCTAAAGCTTGACTCAAATGTTCCAAAGCAGGAACTTATCAAGGCAAAAGCAGTTGCACGTTATGTCATCAATACAATATGGCCGTGTACATGTTCTCCAGACCTTTTATATTCACAACTTATAGCAGGAAAATTCCTATCAGCACAACTTTCGAAAAAATCCAGGAACTCAAGCACAATAAAGCAAATTGCAGCAACCCAATTTTGTTAAAGATATTTTGCACAGGATAATTCCTCACCGTATGTATAATATCTAGAACCCTTGACTCCCTCATGGCATTGGTTGAAATTACGTACAAGAGCCTGCAAAATCACTTAGAAAGTGAATCATGACGAGATTAAAACACGCTAAAGGAAATCCAGGGAACACAGCACTCATGCAAACATGACGAGAGCAAACTATATGGCAGAGAAAGTTGGGCTAGTTATAACCATTTTTGAAGTTGTCAAGGGAGACATAGCCGTCTTTATTTGGTTCTAACAATCTGAATTGTGCTCTCAGATATACCAATTGATCTTCTGACAAGGCTTTTGAAAGGGCCTGCATTGGAGAAATAAGGAAGATGAGTTACCATACAGGGGAAAAAGGAAATTAATAATAGAACATCTTCAAATTTGAGTTGACAGAAACAATATGTTCAAGAAAATCAAATTGAAAGAGATTTTCTTTAAAATAAATAAGCATCCCTGGTGAATGTCAAGCAACTACCTCCAGGTATACAAGAGCATGTTCTCGGAATAAAGATTTATGAAAAGGGGCCAAAACCCCCGAGGGGGGGCGTTATAATGTCAAGGATTTCACAAACCAAAATCAAATTGAATCTATTTGTAGTCAAGAATACTAAATTATAAATTTATAATATAAGATAATCTCACCAGATGGAAAAAAAATGTGCATATACATGAAGGAAGTAATAAATAGAAAATATCAGTAAAATATTTAAAACATCTCATATATGTATCAATGTAAACACGTGTGTGTGTGTAAGAGAGAGAGAGAATGTAATAACAAGAAACAAAAGATTCAGCATGAGCATATCTAAGGAAATGAAATAAATAGTACCTTTAGTGCTGCTCGTTTGAATGGTGTTGCAAGAAGATAACACTTCACCAATTTGTAAACTAATATATCTAAAGGTATAGGACGGTTGTCATCCCTCAGCCAAGGGTGAGCTGCATTTCCACAGGCGTTGCATTGATTAATTTTAAAATTTTTATTGAAAAACGCTCTTTTAAGGTCAGACCCATAATCTACATCTATAATTAATGCATCCAAAAGACATTGTCAGAAGAGGTACAAAGTATAATAATACTCCAGATAGGCATGGGTCATGGAACATACGTAAAATGGCTCGATAGTAACAACATCGACTTATATATATATATATATATATAACTATGGATACAAAGACAAAGAGACAAGGGATTTATATAGTAATGGTTTCTGAGTTTTGGATCCCCTCAACAACAACAACAACAACAACAACAAGCCTTTATCCCACTAGGTGGGGTCGGCTACATGGATTGCAAGACGCCATTGTGCTCTATCATTTATTAAGCTTTTAGAAATATTATTAATTAGAGATCATGTTCAACAACTTCCAAGAGTGTTCTCTTAGGCCTTCCTCTACCTCTCTTAATCGGACTCAAAGTTATATGTTCCACTCTTCTCACTGGTGCCTCCCTTGGTCTTCTTTGTACATGCCCAAACCATCTCAACCAATTTTCTACCATTTTTTCCTCAATAGGTGCCACCCTCACTTTTTCACGTATGTGCTCATTTCGAATTTTATCTTTACGTGTATGTCCGCACATCCATCGTAACATTCTCATCTCTGCTACTCCAACTTTATGCTCTTGCTGTCCCGTTAGAGCCCAGCATTCACTACTATATAACATTGCCGGTCTGATAGAGTACGATAAAAACTTTCCTTTAAGTTTATTAGGCACCCTACGGTCACAAATAACTCCTTTAGCTTTTCTCCAATTAAACCACCCAGCTTGAATTCTATGTGAAATATTTCCACTGATTTCGCCATCATTTTGAATAATGGCTCCCAAAATATCTAAACTTTTCCACTTGAGGTATAATTTGATCTCCCAATTTCACTTCGAAATTATTTTCGAATAGTCCTTTACTATGTAAAAATATCTAAACTCCGCCTATGTTTATAGCCGGTCCCAAGCCCGGGTAAAGGAGGAGGGTTGTGTTAGGCCATCAACAGCCAATGTAAAAAATTTGTTGAATCTATCATGAACAAGTTTGGATCCCCTCAAGTGTAAAAACAATTAAAGTGCATCTAAAGTAAAAAGGAGTAACACACAGTGAGTATATGGGGCCTACTTCCCATCTTTCCATCCACTTCTGTTCTCTTTATTTCTCTCTTGCTATGGAAACACTTAATAGGCTTCACACTCTAAGTATCCAAATTAGTACGAAATCAGAAGGTGGACCCATAATCAACAAAGTTGCCTTATTTTATTTAATTTTTAAAAAATCCTGTCAACATGCTTATCATTATGCGTCATTAAGAATATTACCATCTAAAAGGCCAGTGTTGTCATGTTTAAAACCCTCCAGCTTATGGGCAAACAGATGTGAAAACTTACTTAGAGCTTGGACAGCAGTCATTCTTTTCCTGTAATCCTTGTTCAGAAGCCTTTTTACAAAGTCCTTGGCCTCTGCAGATACAGTAGGCCAAGGCAAGTCATCAAAATTAGGATCAGCTCTGAGCACTGCACGAAAAATTCCAGATTCTGTTCGAGCCCAGAAAGGTCGACTTCCACATAACAAGATATAGGTGATAACACCTATACTCCATATATCTGCTTCCAGACTATATGATCTGTGAAGGACCTCAGGTGCAACATAGTAGGCACTTCCAACGATGTCATTCAATCTTTCATCTGCACATAAACATCCAGGAAGGAGTTGAGAGATGTAAGTATAGATGAGGAAAATAACTTCTTAAGGATCCTAATTGTATTGATTTCATACATGTTCTTCAATGGTTCAAAGACACAATAGATGAGCAATTGAATCAAGGGACCCATGAAACACACAGCAAAGTAAAGAAATTGAGGGGAAGCTGTATGTTTTGAATGCATACCCATTTGAAAAGAAAATAGTTTCACTAGTCAAAACACAGGTTTAAGAAAGATCCTTATGCTAAGAGTAGCCGCAATATTGAGGTGAGGTTTATGTTTACTAGAAATTGCCCATGTTCTATTAAAAAAAGATTGGCATGCCTGGAAGATGAAATCAAGGATGACTTTGATTATTAACCTGGTCTAATGAAGTCAGAGAGACCAAAATCAATAAGCTTCATATCAGCATCTTCACTTCGTGAAGTGAACAGAAAATTCTGTAAAAGAAGAGCAAAACCAGCAAGGCTCCATAAATTCTCCATGTGGGTGCACAAGTTGGATTAAGAAAATAATTAGATGTCAATATTGCAAATCATTACAGGGACAAGATTTAAAGCACAACCTCAGGCTTTAGATCACGGTGCACCACACCTTGGAGATGACAAAAAGCAACAACACTTAAAATCTGCAAAACTATAACTTTTGCATCTTCCTCAGTATACTTGCCTCCCCTATAATAGAGGAAAAAATTTTAAATCAAAATACTAAGAGAGCATATCAACTAGAAAGATCACAACAATAACAAAGGAAAAACTAACCTTGACAAAATTCTGTCAAGAAGCTCCCCCCCTTCACACAATCTGACAAGATAAAAAAAGCTCAGAAAGATCACTATATTATGAAAGCTACTACAATAGAAGATGCATGCTCCCCACAATTCAACCATAAAATAAGAAAAACCATAATCAAAATCCATGTTGAACAAAGGATTTAATATTTTAATCAAGTATTTAAAGAGTGTGGCTGACCTCATTTAAACCATCTATTAATTAGGGAAATCATACAAAAAAAGGAATCAACACTGGGAAACAGGAAATTGATTGTAGAAAGTAACAAGGCAGCAACAAATCATGACGATGACGACAACAATAAAAGGACACAACATGTTATTGTAACACTACCACTAAAGGTCTTGCTACTTAAATCAGTCAAGCTTTGCCTAAAAGCAAGGGTTAAGTTCTAAATTTGAGGAATGGGGTATCAGAGTAAAAGATTACTTCTGTACCTCAATTTGATTGCTTGAAAATAGCACCCAGAAAAAACATGATAAAATTCAGTGCTTCACTTCAAAGATGCTACCAAATTCTTCATCTAAATAATAATGAATACAGGATAAAAGGCGTACTCCATAACTATGTACACATTGTTGGCATCCTCACAAGCATCATGATATTTGACAAGATGCTTATGGCCGGATAGAGCTTTCAACATCTTCACCTCTCTTCGAACATCTTCAATTGCTATTGCTGTTGTCATCTGCCAAATAAATCTTATTAAGATGCAGCAGTTGGTTTAACAAGAATTACTAAATAAAGCTGCAAAATTATGGCTTCACAAAATAGTATGCAGTAATACTAACTAAAGGCACATATATTGTATGACCTATCCAACAAATGAGCTTACATTGCATGTTGGAATAACCATGAAATCAACAGTATACTAACATGCACTTCCTTAGAAAAGATCTTAACACCGGGTATTTATAAATCAAATGCCTTTACAAATAAACAAAGCACTTGATTATAATAGAATGAATGGACTTTCGCTAAAAGAAAAATAAGTACTGAAATATGACACATTTGTAAGATGTTTTTGGTCACAAAGGAATCCAGGTTGGAAAACTCATAATCTTGTCATCAACACCAATCAATCGTTGATCAAGCCTCCATTTTAACAGCTTTATGTTCCTAATTAATCCTAATCAAATTTTATATTCAACTACCACCAGAGCAACAAATGCAATACAACACCTACACGTATTCACATGATAAAGGGTCTGCTATTTTATAATCCTTCGTGGTTACAACTGTCAGTCAAGAACAAGAACTTCTCCTATATCATTTATTCCACGGACACGCGCGCGGGCGAGCATTGTATATACGAATACTTGTATGTAAATATTTTAATTATTGTTCTATACAGTTCACAAAAAACCTTTCTTTATCAACACCACCACAAACAAACTAAAGAGATGCAATGCCATCAAATCTGTCCAAATGTAACAGACAAGGTAGGACCTAGGGAGATCTCATGCCATTGCTAGCTTGACTCAGTAATTACTAAAATGACTTCTGATTTTTTTGCGCTATTTACAACTTTTATAGGGACACACTGACACTCCTTAGAAACTCTCATATCACATGTTCCACTCCACTGCCTCAGTGAAGCATCATGATTAGTCTAAGAAAATTCCAAAGAAAAAAAGACAAATAACTCTAATGTCAGGCTACCCACGTCAAATTCCTGAAGTGCTATATATATATATATATGAAAATCTCACAGAAAAGTGTCTAGTTGAGAGTGATGCTAATCATGTCTATTGAATTCCAGAATAATCATTTTCTACCGTTAGATTTTAGTGTCCAGGGCATCAAGTACAAATTTCAGAACTTCAATCTGGTGGAACGTCTGTACTTTTGTCGGATATCCTACCATCCATTTCAGTTCGATAGGCACCAGGGGTTAAAAGAAACAATGCTAAACTACAGCACAAGCATCATTCTCAAATAACCAAGATTCTCTCAGGTTCTAGGCAACAGATCAATCAAACACAAGAAATTCAAATGTAACTAACGCCAACCAAAGGGTTCAAACGCCATAAGAGTCCAATATTTATCAGAATCAACTAGCCAGACATGCTCCCCGAGAGAGAGAAAAAATCCAGAAAATATAAATACAAAAAAATTAAACGAAAGATCGTGTCAGAGAAGATTGACCATTTCAAGATCATGAAACTTACCATCAATACTCCGAATATCACACCAAAAACATGAAAAAGATGAACTAAGATTGATTATAAAACTAGCCAACTTCAATTTGCAGGAAATAAAAAATTTACGACATTATACCTTCGCCTTCGAGATGATTTTCACTGCTACAGGATGGTCTTTGAGCTCTCCCTTCTTGCCCCTTGCAGAGCACGTGTGACCAAAATGGCCCCTTCCCACTTCCTTTCCTAACTCATACTTAGCTCCAAAATCTTACTATACCCAAAGCTCTTGTCCAGCGCCTGCTCCGGTTCTGTCCCACGGTCCTCGGGGATCGGGCCCTCCTTGGGTTTCCCGTGCCCAAGCCGCTTCGCCAGCGACGCTCTGATATGCTTCGCCGGCGACGGAGGAGGGAACGGTCGTCGAAAAAACCTCCTGGGCGTCGATGTCCTCGCCGGCGACGGCGACACCCCACCCGGAAACGGACTTGCGTTGACGCCTTGCGGGTACGGGCTCGGCCACGGGCTCGCGTTGGACGATCGGGCAGGCGTGTTCTTCACCGATGGAAGCCCGTTGCCACCGCTCCTGACGGCAGAGGCGACTGCGGAGGGCCACCGAAATCGCCAATAATGGTGGTTGTGTTTGCGGCACCGTCATTTTCAGCGGTGGGATTGGTCTTGCCGTAGCACTGCCCCATAGGAAGAGCTAGCTCCGGCTCTGTATCTGATCAGCGCTCAGTCAAAGTCCACACATCGGACGGCCAATGACCCTGGACCCTCTGGATTCAATTCTCGCCGGAAATTTACGCGAAATAGAGAGAGATCTACAACGAGAAAACGTTAAAGAAGGAGAATTTCAGTCAGGTAGAGAGATAAAGAAGAACGAAGAGGGAGAGAGACTGAGAATGAGACAGAGAAAGCAAGACAAGGTCTGTTAACAAACAAAGGCGAGTGTGACGCTAAAGGATTAGGCGGGAATTGCAAGCAACTTCGCGGTACGGAATGGAAAATCCTGAGGACCCCAGTAGACCTACGATCTGTATCCAACATGTGAATATCGAGAATAAGGCGATAATCACAGCCGTTGATTCTCCAAATCGATGTGTTTTCTGTTATATGGGATAGTTTCCGGTGTAAGCTGCCTAGTACCTTTCGTTTTGTCTTTTGCTACTTTCGTTGCAGTTATTGTGATTTTAAAACAAAAAACACAAACAAAAGGGGCAAGAAAGAAGGGAAAAAAAGGAAGGAAAGTTTAAAAATGGGAAGGTGGGTGGGTTTCTCTTCACTGGAGGCTGGTGTAAGAGTGGGCCCATGGACTCAGGAACATTAGTTGTAGCTGACGTTGAAAGACGTAAATACCCTAAGAAGACACGTGGCCAGAGATGGGAGAGTAGAGTAGAATAGGGGATCTACTGGATGATGCAGGCGATGATGAAAGTAGATTTCCTTGGAGGGAATAAAGAGCTGGGGAAGGTTGAAGAGGAAGAACATAGGCTGGTCAGAAGGTTCGAAACGAGGTGTGGTTCGACGCGGGACGTGGTTTGGTACGGATCTGATCGTATTCTGTTGCCTTCCCAGTCAATAAATTGAATTCATTTTACGGGCATAATCATATTTTAGAAGTAAAATGCTAATATTGTTAATTAAAGAAATAAATCTTCCCCGGATCTTCATTTTTATAGATGGAAGATTTTTATATTATTAAGAAATAACGGTGCAGAATAAAAGGCACAAAATAGAAAATGTTTTTAATATTAAAACTTTTAACAATGATGATTGAATATAAAACAATTAAAGTGTCAGAATGAAATTTACATTGTTTAACTACTGTTTCCTACATCCTAAATTGCAAAGCACTTTTAAAATAATATTATGCTATTCATTTCCAGCAACAAGAAGGAACGAAGGATAATATCTTCTTTTGATTGTGCTCAGTTAGTTTTTAATTTGGTTCTTTTGTAATCTTGTTTGCAAATAAAAAAAAAAAAAAAAGGAAGGAGACTATCTTCTTTCTTTTGTTTTATTATTCTTTTCTTAGATATAAAGACATTACTGCAAAGGAAATATCCCATGGCAGAGAGAGGCTATACTAGCCATTGAATTTGGTAGCTAGGTGGACTAAATTAATTATAAAGATACTTTTAATATGTCAATTATTTAATTTTGTATAAATAGTTGTAACATACTCTCTTTATTAAAAATATAATATATTTTTAATCTAATTTTATTTCTCAATAAAATAGTTACTTATTTTCAAATCAATCATATCTTTTCATATTTATCCTATTAAATACTTACAATAAATATAAAGTTATTATCAATAGGAGTACTATTGAAAAAAAGCAATGATTACACCTTAAAAAATTAAAAATGCTTTATATTTTTTAACATCCAATTTTTCAAAAAATACTTTATATTTTTAAAGAGGAGAAATAAATTTTTTTGGTTATATGGAATCAGTTTATTACATTTTATTATAAAAAATAATAATACGCTTAGTCTATAACAAAATTAATGTGTATAAATACAATATGCAGTTTATATTGTTGTTGTTATACATAGACTAACTTATTAAATAGTTTTCCAATAATTTAAGCCTATAAATATAATTAGAAAAAACTGAATAGGTTTTCCGAAGAGCTGTTATACTTTCACCCTTTTAACTGCATATCTTTTGGGGAAAGAATCTCGTCACATAAATATCGCCATCATCATATTCGAAAGCTCTCCTTTTTCCCTTAAGAGATGATTGGTAACCAATTAATAATGATCACCTATGTCCAAATAAAATAAATAATTATGGCATTTTATTCGTCTGGTGACCTGAATCACAAGCCTTTCACGTAAGATATGCTTATTCAAGTGGATATAGTATATAATTCGGTGAGTAATTTTCTTCAAACTTAGCATTCGTTTTTCCTTTAAATTTTATGAAAAAACACCTTTGATGCTATAGTTTTAGAATCTTCAGTGCTAATTTTCAAAGTCACAAATGCAGAATAGAATGCCTATCTGGAAAGAATATTAAAAATAATCATCTATTCATCAACACTTATGCATGCAAATTGGCTCGTCCTTTTCCTTATCATATTCACATATATGCTTCCAGAAATTATTATTGTAACAATGCAGTTAAAATAAAATAAAAAAACCTTTATTTTTCCAACTAATTTTTACGTGAGTCAAGTCTTGAAAGTTAACTAAAACAAGGACATGCCTTTAAGTTTAAATAGCACAAACAGATTATCTACTAATAAGATGTATTTATGCTGACAGCAAAATTTAACAATGCATTGTCTTGTAAATTACATATCAAATATTTACCAATTGAACTAATCTTTTTTTTTTTTAGAGTTTGATCCTATTTTCATTTAAGCAAGAGTTTCGCATCACTATTATTCTGGTGCATTTAATTTTAGGCATAGGTGATAAGTGATAAATCATAAGATTGGAGTAAATTCTCCCTTTGAAGAATAATTAATACTTAGGTGTTTGTTGATACGAGTTTTTTATCGAATGGACAGTATTTGATTTAATCAAAATATTTTAAAAAGACGTTATACAGTTACAGAATTATTCAAGAATTATTCAATCGCAGTTTCTCAAATCAGTTTCATTTATAAGTCAGATATTTCCATGCAGTTAATCGAGACATGGATGTAACTCTTGAATATATTATATATATATATATATAACATGTTTAGCTATGCAGATTCCTTCCTTGTCAAGTCATGTTAGGTCCAAGAAGAAGGTTACATATAACATGTGAATAGTGTAGTTCTATAAAATTTGCACGATTTTATGTTAATATCGATTGATGAATAAAACTTAGTCTAATACAGAGTGAAAATGACCCTGCCATGGTGATGATATGACGAAAGAAGAGAACTTGTTTGATTAATTATCTAATAGATGATGTATATTATATTGCTATTAATTAATTGTTTGAAAAGCAAATAGCTTCTCGACGCATTAATCATGCCTAAACTCTAATTAGGCGTGCGGAACAAAGTTGGAGTTGGCTTCACATTTAATTTGGTTGTCTTGTTTCTTTAAATCATCGTGATGGTTATAACTAAAACTTTCATTATGGACCCCAGAGAAAAACTTCGTGTCAGATTAATTCCATTTATGAAAATTGAATGAAACATTAATTTGAAACGTGAAAGCCAAATTGCCTATGAAGATTTTGGGAACAATAGAGCAGGTCTTTCTGTTTTGAGCTTCTAGAGAACTTCACGATAATAATTTGATTTTCTTAAAAAAAATTGTCAGTTTGAGAAGACTTTACTTATTGATGCTCATAAGAAATTATCTTTTATTTAATTCGGTCATAATTAAAGATAGCAAAGAAAAAGAAGATATAATTATTTTATATTTAAGTCTGTTATCTTAAAAGAAAATTATTAAATTACTGTTAAAAAGTTTAATTTTCATTATGAATTATTTACCCTGAGCCAGCTTGATCGTACATAAATTAATTGAAATTATTGTTTTTTCCCTAAGGTATCCCCATGACAAACAACTATAAGACTAATTTTTTGAAAAAATTTAAATACTATTTAAAGAGTTATCATTTCCTAAAAGATGAATTGAAATTATTGTCAATACGTACATAACACACAGCAAAGGAATTGAAACGGGGCCAGGGTTGCTTGCAATAGCACTCAAGGGATCATTACTGCCCATTACTTCATCCGTCTCAGAATATTGTCCTTTAAAGACTATATACGCATATTAAAAAGTGTAATTAATATGTAAAATATGATGTATTTTATTTCTTTTATTAAAAATATAAGGTATTTTTAATTGAATCTCACACTCTAATAAAATAATTAATTATTTTTAAACTAACCCTATCTTTTCATATTTACCTCTATAAACATCATAAAATCAATGTAAAATAATTTATTTAATAGGGCCACTTTTTGAAAGAAAAAAAATAATGATTACACCTCAAGAAATTAAAAATATTTTACATTTTTTAACGTTTAATTTTTTAAAAAATGCTTTATATTTTTAAATAGAGGGAGCATCAAATTTGTTTTTCCATTATTTTTATACATCTAATTGTTGTGCTAACAGTGCTTTAATACCTTTAAAGGAGAAAATAGGAAAAATATTATTAAATAATGTTTTAAGAGCCTTGAAAATATGAATAATATAGATATATTTAATGACCTGGCTTTAAATAAATTGCCTTGCTATTTAAAAAAATTGAAGTCCAGCTCAAATAAAAAATTCACGGTGAACCTTCAAATATGGTGCACAACATTTGTTATTATAATTTTTTAGTCTCTCTTGAATCTGTTTCAGCTATAAAATTTGATTTTTAAAATTTAATTTTTATCAATTTAATCCTTTAAATTTATAGTATCAATTATCAATTTATTCATTATTATTTAAAAATTAGTAACACTATTAAATTCTATTGATATGGATAACATAATATTGATAACAATTATGTGGGATAAATACAAAAATGTAATTATTGTAAGAAAAATAGACTTAGAAAGTTTTTTTAAAAAATAATAGAACGAAGCATGAAGGATTACATTAATAAAAATTAAATTAGTTTGACTGTTAATTTGTTTTTATTTAACTCTGTGTGTGTGAAGTTATTAATATATTCACACATTAGATTAATTCAAGTGTCAATTTATATTTTAAATTTTAAAGGACTCATGCAATGATTTAAGAAAATATAAGGGATTAAATTGATAAAAAATTAAATTCTAGATATCAAATTAATAGTTGAGACAAATTTAAAAAATTATTAATTTTGTTATCATTTAAAAAAAACTCTTTTATAATTTTCTCTTATTTCTTTCATAGGTCATGCTCCAAAAAGGAGGATTAAAACAAAGGAGACTATGATTTACCATAGTTAGTGGATTTTTTATTCCAATAATCGAGTTGAAAATTTTTTTTGCCGTTCCTTTAAACTTGTGTCGTCTGTCGTCGCATCATAATGTTTGAAAACGGCCATCAACATTAATGTAGTGTGCTGATAGAACATGGACCAAAATAGACCGTATAATTATATACATATTTTCGACAAAATTTGTTCAAAAAAGCACTTCAAGCATTAAAAGGATCTATGGGCCATGAAGTCAACCACTACCGAGAAACATCATTGAATCAACGACAGTAAGGTATCTCAATGGGGTTATTGGGCATGCGCGGAAGAGACAGTTGTCAAAAAATTGTTAATTAACGTCTGAATTCTATTAAAAACAGTATTCATATTTAATATTTAATCATATTTTAAATAAAATTACCTCTGATAAGATAGAATATCTGTGGGTAATCAAAAAATCATGGTAATGTGTTTAAATTTCTAGCTACTATAATTAAGCTCATTATGATTTATGAAGCTCGTTACTTGATTCGGTACCCTTCCCTATTGTTAAATCATTAAAAATACTAATGATGATCTAGGTAGAGGCATCATATTTATTGCGATTATTGTAATTATTTTAAATTATATTTTCTACACAACTCTGCGCCTTTGTTAAACCTCTTTTCTCTCTAGAGTTGATGTATTCTCATGCTTGTCATAATAGTAATGGATAAGTCTAAAATGAGTGAGCTGGTTCATTTTCATCTGTTCAGTTTTCCTGCTATTCTGACCATACATTTAGGTAGCATGTGTGGACATATTCCTACAGTTCTTTAAAATATATTTGCTAGTTAATTGCTAAATTTTATATTTAACTATCATATCAAGTATTATGCATGTTTAACAATTAGATATATAATATATATATATATCTTTGGATATTATAAAAGTTTAGTGGAAAGAGCCCCACCACTCATTGGCAGAGCCACGTTGGAGTGAGGGGTACAATACACCCCCTCACTTTCAGAAAAATTATAAATAAGACATAAAAAGTTTACGACTTTATATTTTTTTATTTTTGATATTTTGTCCCTTTTGAATTAAATAAAAATATTTATATTTAAAAACTTTAAATATATAATATTTAATGATTTAAATAAGATATGAAAAGTATATTTAGAATAAAAGACCATATCAACTTATTCAATATAATTTTTTAAAATAAAAAATAATAATAAATTTATTATTATTATTATAATTTTATCATAGCATAATTATTACTATTTTTTAAAAAATATTAATTTTTGTAATAAATTATTTTGTACCCCTGACTTAAGAGCCTAGCTCCGCCACTGCCGCCCACTCACAGCTTGTAAATACACAATTTATTTTAAATTTTGTTTTATATTGATGGATTTATATGGATTAGCATGGTGTTCATTTTCACGATGCATGAAGACAATTCAGGATAATATTGTTTTTGGCAAAAAAAAAAAATCACGTTGTTCGCTTTACATGGTGCGTAAAGATAATTCAAGAGGGATTGTCTATTGGATCAAGGTTTTAAAAAAAAGATTTCAATTTTTAGTCACTTCCCTGTTCATGGTAAATACTCATTGACTCATCCATTCTCTAGTTTGATTAACAAATTATAAATCTCACCATGTATAATTGGATCATCATTTTTCGATAGAATATTTAAAGAATTCGATGATCGTAATGATTGAATTGCCTCATTAAAATCTTCTCATGGGTGTGAATTTCCCTTCATAAAAAATTTCTAGTCCACTCTTGTCCAGCTACTCAAGTGGCAACGTTTTGTCAATAAATATGTATGTGTATATTGTCGGAGAGAAATTAAATTCAGAAAGCCCGGAGCCTTGGGTTCACTGGCCATAGCAGCATTCTCGAGATGCTTAAATCGCGGGTTCGAACTGCGCCTGCAAATGTTTCAACATTTGCCTACTAAAACAAAAAAATTAGAACCGTTTGGTTCAACTGTCCGGGAAGATCCTGTCTCACCTAGATCGGGTTAATTTGAGCCACATTAAAGTTCCTTCAGCCCAACTTAACATGGACACATGAGGCCAAGTGCTCCATTTAAAAACAACAAAAAGCAGCAACAATTGTGTACGGCAAGTAAAAAGGCCTTTTTTTCGAAGGGACAGTTAGCTTTCGTTGGTTGTTGGGTGGTGTGTCCCAATTTTGCCGGCGTGAATGAATAAGACGTTTCAATGCATTAAAACATTTCTTCGACCCAGATATAAGATGCAAAAAATATTGATATATAGCTGCTTATGGATGTAACGTTAGATGTTTGTGCCCACAAGTTTGTTATCCTTTTAATGTTAAATTGTCCCTTTTATTTTAACTTAACTTATCTATCTTGATTTCTAAAATATGTGAAAGATTTTTCACTTCAGAAGGTTTACATTCACCTACTAGATTTGCGATTCTTTCTTAAAAGAAAAACATTGGGCTTTTCTGTGGCCCAATAATTGCTTATTCTTGCGTTAGAATATGGCCCAAGAAATAAAACTGGAAAAGACACCGTGCGATCCAAATTGATGCTTCAATGTCGTTTACACGTCCAATAATTGCCCTAAAATCTTTGTCAAAAAAAAAAAAATTGCCCCCAAATATTATTCAAAGGGCACCAAGGGTAGCCGGAAGGATTCAACTCATCTTTTTCGAAAATTTTTATTAATAATTTTATTAAAATGAAAAACAAAAATTCAGAGACGTGAATAATTTTTGGACTTTCCATAAAATATCAATATAGGACACACGTATAATATTTATAAAACTGAAAATAAAAAATTCAGAACAACCTTAATTAACCCTAACTCATATGGAGAAAATGCTAGTTATAGAACACTCTGCCTTCCTTGGCCAAAAAAAAAGAAAAACACTGCCTGTACCTTTCTC